AAAGTTAACAGTAGCATGACAGCTCTCCGTAGCAGTGCTCGTTCGGCCGTTACATTGCACTTTCGGATCACCTATAATAGACTGTTCTCCGATCTTCCGCCCAACCTGGCTATGTGATGTGGCACCTCTGATGTGGCACCTCATATGATATGGCGACTTAACAACAACAAAGCATTTCCCTTGAGTGACTATCAATAAGAGCGCTAACTTGGGCATGTGAGGTTCAAATTGCCATGAACATTCCGTTGAATGCGAATCCTGCATCGTGCGAACTCAGTGTGAATTCGATGAGAAACCATTTGTGAGGTTCGGCAGCGCCGAGGTAGTACTATCGACTCTGGTAAGTCCGCCTCACAAGTAGGTGGCACCTACTAGGTGCCTTTTCCCATGATCGAACATCATCGACGGAGGTTTTCGCTGCACGCCCTGAGAGACGGGCAATCCGGTAGCTCGAGCGGGACGGAATTTCCTTTGCATTTCGCTGTTGAGCACTCGCCGAGTATGCGCCACTGGTTGTAACTCTGATTTGTCGGAGCAGTTGACTTCGTCCTTTGCTCGATCGATCTATGGGGCTCTATCGGAGCCTTCTAGTGGAAGGCTTGGAAACACAATAGTGGCCTTCCGCTTTGATCACGCCTATTCAGCGTCGGACGTTATCTTCCAAATGTCGGCTAAGCAACTCGTCATCAGTGCGGCATCTGCTGCCGTTATGTTATCGAGTCTGATCCCCTGCAACGCAGTCAGAGCCGCTGTCCAATCCGCCTCCGCTGGGGAGCTCAGCGTAAGGAAATATGTGGTCACATTAAGATGGTCATCTGGAGGGCAAACCCCTCTCAAGGACCAAGGGCGCTCATAAGCTGCTTGCCTTTCAGGATTATCCTCCTACGAGATATGCAACCTTTGACGAAAGGAAAAATGCTCTCCATTGCGGTTATGATAATCGCAAGAAGAACCGTGATGACTCGGCAGCATTGGACTTCTACATCGTTGGCAACGGCGTGCAAACTGGGGCGATTACTTGTCCCAAGGCAGGAAAGTATCCGGCGTTCCGGACATCGTAGGATAGTTGTGAAAGCCGACACCGACGTTGACGTTTGCAGTTCAGATATCTAGGCTCGCCTACTCTCAAGATGTACAACCCCCACATTGTAGGGAGCGGCGCATATTTCTCTCTAGCTCAGCCGACTACCGAGGTCACTTATCTGGATCCTCTAAGGAACATTCAGCTATCCCCTCCCAGTCCTCGTGCGAAGGATGAATCTCCAGCAAAGAATAGGCAGAGACAATGCCTCAACGCGATTCAGACGATCAAGCGTGGATTCGGTGGAAGCTTCAGAGCTCTGTGCGATAAGCATCATGATGTCTCCGTAACGGCTATCAACACTGCACGAGCCGATGAGTTGAATGTCACAGTCTAAAGTTGGAGGAGACATTTGTATTTCCCAGCCAAACTCTATTGAGGCGCCGACTCGCGAATAATGAATAACAACTTTATCAACCTCTCCTCATTTTACCTCGTTGTCGATTCACGAAATTATACCAACATGCTATGCGTAGTATGTTTTATGAAGATCGTTGTTGCTGTTGCTGTGATGTGGAGATTTGCATTGTGATAAGGCCGCTCT